TGCTCATATATGTACTTACATGTTTGTACCACACACACATACACACACTCACACACACACACACACACACACACACACACACACACACAGATACATGTTTTCATGGTCATTCCCCCATCTTCATCTACACCAGCGGTTCTCAACCTTCCTAACTCTGTGACCCTTTAATACAGTTCCACATGTTGTGGTGATTCCCAACCATAACATTGTTTCATTGCTATTTCATAGCTCTAAGTTCCTTTTGTCATTGAGTTCTCACAGGGGTATCCAGCCTTTTGACATTGGAACAGGATGCTGTCATCTACCGAGTCCATGCTTGAGAACTGTGCAGTTGAGTTGCAAAAGACATACATGCATGTGCATATACATGTGTGGTGTGTGCTCGAGTGTGTGTGCAAAAGGTTCACATATCATTTAAAGTAAGTTCATGGTTTGTGTTGGGCTGCATGTTGCCTGTAGACCTCTGGTTGAACACTCCTAGATATTGTTTTGTTATTTTTTCCACTTCTTTCATTTAAATACCATTGATGCATTTTTTTTAAAAGTTTGTCTTGCTGCTTTATGGAATAAATTATGATCTGAGATCCAGGGTAGGAACCAAGGTGTCTTCCCTCTTTTTCCTGTGTTTGCATGGTGTCTTCTGAGCTCTTTGGTTTACCTGGTTTGTTTCTTGCCTTCCTTAGGCTAACCGACATGGAGATGGTGGACATCCTTCATCTTACTCTTTACTGAGAGGAAATGGTTGGTGAAGGGTATTCAGTCTTACCCTCTTCAGAGTGTGGATACAGTCATGCTGTCTTCCTCTGTAGTGTACTTAGTGGAGTGTTAAGGAATTTTCCAATACAAATCAGCATTTCACTCTCTCAATAAAACCTGCTTATTCACTGGGTTTCCTTAATATGCTTTTAGATTTGTTCACTGATACTTAATTATAACTTTTACTTTATTTATAAAGAATTCTTTGTCTACAAGCTTTTTTAGTCACTTAAAAATATATTCACTTGTGTGCATGTGTATGTATTTGTGTATGTGTATACGTGTGTGTGTGTGTGTGTGTGTGTGTGTGTGTGTGTATGTGTGTGAAGACCTTGGAAGAGTCTGTTCTCTTTTTCCACTGTATCTGTGTTGGGGATTGAACTCAGGCAGTCAGGCTTGGTAGTGGGTACTCTCTTCTGTGCCACCCAGCAGGCATGTTTTTATTGTCTTTTCAAGTTTAGTTCTGAATGATACATTCATATTAATAAAGTTTTCATTTCAGAGTTGTTGGAGTTATACAGCTTTTGCCTTGTGATGTTCTCGGACATTCATGTTTGTCTGTGAGGTTATTGCCCGGTGGCTTGATTTCCCCAAAGGAATTCCTTGAGACCAGTTTTAAAGCACTAACCAAATCAGCTTTATAAACTGTGTTTTTGTAAGCACTTGCCATTTTGATGAAAAAATTAAAATTAATTACTTAAATGTGTGAAGACTTAAAACAAGGGACATTTCCTATTTTTAAGCTTTGCTCAGTGCTATTTCATTGTGTATATTTGTATATTGCCCATATTATCAGATTAGCTGCTGTTGTGAATCCAGAATTTTAATGATTAGACCAATCCCAGTAGTCTTCCTCAATATCTGTATTATTCTTTTTAGTTCCCATATTCTACTTTAATTTTTTTCCATTTCTTTAGTTTGATCTGGGAAAGTATTAGTTGCTATAGGTCCTAGAATACTTACTATCTATCTATCTATCTATCTATCTATCTATCTATCTATCTATCTGTGTATGTGTGTACATATGCGTATGTATGTATACCCACCTACATTCCTAATGCACATCACAAAGTTTGGTATGTAATATTTTAAGATCATTATTTCATAAGCAATAATATTCCTAACTAAAAGCAGGTAATTAGAATCCCATTGTGGCTAAGCAGATAATGTGACAAGTGGGATGAACCTGGGAAAGCTTATCTTCAGTGTCCTGGGAAGGACACACCATCCTGACTTCCAGTCACTGCTGTGCTCACTCTCACACCCTGCACCTCTGCTGTTAAATGCTGTATCTGTCAGCTCACTTCAGCATTCGAATGTCAGTCTGAGATGTTTAAGGCACATGCTATCACCCTGCTTCTGTAAGAGGACTCTGTGACTCTGAAGAGTTGGTCTAATATGCTGAAGGCTGTATGGCAGGGAATTGCCTGTTGTTCATACTGCAAGCAAAGTCTGGGCTCTGGGATTGGCTTGTATCTGGGCAGTGGTACTGTGATGTCATAGAGGCACTGTACAGTGTGGCAAAGGTTTGGATGTTAGCATCATAGGGAGACTGGATGAGATATCGCTGGCTTGACAGATCCAGTGTTCAGTTAATGGGAGTGAAACATGAGGCCAGTCTGGGCTATGTGAAGTGATAGTTAGCCATAATGTGCCTGTGGGACATCTAAATGGATCCTTGTGGTAATCAGGTGAGCTCGTGGTGCCGGAGGGTCAGGGAGCCCTTGATGGTCACAATGGGAACTTGGTTGTTAGTGCCCTGTGGCTTTGAAAGTGGTTGGTGAAGTGGAAGGCTGAGAGTCCATACTTGCAAAAGTCAGGAGAGTGATGTGAGTGTTCATCAAAGGACTGCTGCAGGGGATTGTCCCTGATGGGTGTGAGGAAGGTGGAGATGGGCAAAGTCTGCTGAGGAAGTGTGGTTATGAAGGGGAATGGGTGGGGTGGTAGTGCCTGTCTGAAGGCCAGGCCCTCCTCCTGCCTCCTGTTTTCTCCTGTAACTTCCTCTCTCTGCTTGCTTTTTTCTTTCTTCCTCTCTGTCCTTTGGCTTTCCTGCCTATTGTCCTTTCTCTTCTTCTTCATATGGTGCACTTGAATATTCAGTGTTTGGAGAATTTCACTTAAGAATACACGGCATCTTGTATTAAATCATGGCTGTTGATGTGAATGACATAGATACTGAAATACTCAGGCATTAAGGCTGTCTTAGCTAGAGTTTCTATTGCTGTGATAAAACACCATGACCAAAAGCAACTTGGGAAAGAAAGGGTTTATTTCAACTTACATATCTGTAGCACAGTCTACCACTGAAGGAAGTCAGGTCAGAAATTCAACCAGGGCGGGAACCTGGGGGCAGGAGACCATGAGAGCTCTGGAGGAGTGCTGTTTACTAGATTGTTCTGTCTTACTCCCCCTGTTTTCTTAGGCCACCAGGATCACCAAACAATATGCACCTCAGGCTTGCCCAGAGAGCGACTTGGTGGGGCTATTTTCTCAACTGAGGTTCTATCTTCCCAAATGACTACAGTTTGTGTCAAGTTAACATAAAACTGGCCAGTACAAGGGTGGTACAGTTTAGAATTTGTTCTGAAATAATAGCCAGTGTGCCAAGTGGTGACACAGACCTACTTTGGCAGCTTTGTCTGCTTCAGAGAAGATACTGCAGGGCAGGAGACTGTTCCAAGCTTGGTATAACATTTGAGATAGCAGGCCCAGCTCTCATTCGTCAGGTAGGTTCCTCCTTGGACAGGATTTTTGTTCATGCCTTGAAGAGTTCACTAATATGTTTGTTAGCCAGTTAAAATTCAGAATTAGAAATTGAGATATTTTGACATTTTTAGAGAATTCACTTTATCTATAGAGAAGATTTGGAAAAAATATACGCCAAGTCCAAACTTGAATAAAAGTTTTCCTTTTTGTATTTGAGATGAAGAAAATTGAAATGCTTGTTTGTATTTTAGTTAAAAATTCAAAGACATGTGCACATACACATATACACAGGTACACAGAAACATTCACACACACATATACACACACAAATATATGCACACACATGCACATACACACAAAGGCATGCAAACACATATATAGGCATACACATGTATACATATGTATACCTACACAGAGGCAGACACGACTGTGCACACTGATTTACATTTAGAAATAAGTTCATCCTGCAGCTAAATGATCTCCATTTTTTTTCCTAAGTTAATTTTGAGAATTTCATGTGTGGTACGACGTTGTTAGACACAGTAAAATGTTACATAAGATAATTAAGCAGCTCCTTAAAGTAGCAATCAGAAGTCTGTACATTTCGTTCATCAGTATTTACCAGCCCTGTACGTGTCTTTCTTCAGGGGAACACGCAGTCTCCATTGTGAGCCATCTCCAGAGTTTGTGGTAGGACCCCGCGGACAGAGCCACTGATGCCAATGTGGAATAAAGGTCATTGCAGTTAGGCCGCCGTGTGTGTGAATGAGTTTTAGCTATTCAAGATGACTCCTTACAGTTCAGACATACTAGATTCACTTGAACTTTTGGGAGCATTTAAAAATAAACTAATATAAATATGTTTTTTCCTCATTTGTATTTTTGTCTCTCTTGTCCCTGTCAGCCAGCTGCTTCCACACCTCCTAATGTGAACCTTAATCACAGTATGACGAGGTTCACTGTGGAAATAATTAGCAAAATTGTCCCTCGCATTGCTTTTGTGAAAATAATCCAGTAAGTGAGTTTGACTTAAACATGAAAACTTTTACAAAATTATTATAAAAGAGGACATTCCAGGTTCCTACAGCAGTCCTCCCTTCTCCGTTTTGCCATAATGAATGTTTAGCTGTTGAACTCGGGGTCACTAGTGTGTAACAGTGTCTCCCTCCCCGTGCCTCCTGCCTGCACAGCATTCCTGCCAGGCCAGTGCCCTTTAGAAAAGTCAGCTTTCCTGAGGTAGTGAGTGGATGTGTCTCAAGTTGAATGTTCCCTCTGGTAGAAGCAAGCATCTCTAGTAGACTTGGCCAGTTTGTGTGTTGAAATGTTAGAACGTGTTTGTCTTCAACTCACATGGAAGCATCATGTATGTGTAATTCAGAGACACCCCTTTGGATTTCAGACATACTCCTTTGGATTTTAGACATTAGTCATAAAAATCTCAGTTTCCAACCTCACTGCTCTAAGTCTTGCACCCTTTCCTGTCCACTCAACCTGTCTCTGTTCTGTCCTCTGACTTTACCCTTGTGCTCTGTCTTCAGTATCCGGAGTGCGTCTCTCACCAGCTTCTCCGGAGCTTATCCTGGACCATGACCGCTCGTCTCCATCCACCGGCCACCTCCCTCCAGATGCCGTCATTTCCTCACCGGATGATACGCGTGCAGACAGCAGCCTCGTGAGTCAGACCATCTCCAAAGCTCAGGTGAGCACAGGCATGTTTCAGCAGGAAGCCTGGGCACAGAAGCTGCTTGCTGACTTAATTCATGCTCCCATGACCTCTTAAAATGAGAATCCCAAAAGAAATATTTCTGTAGTAATATCACTTCTGTGACATGATTGCAAATGATTTTAAGTACCTTAGTTACAAAAGTTTGCTGTGAGTGTCTCAGTCATTAGAATTGACTAATTACTCAGGCCTGAGACTCCATTTAGAGTGCCCAGAGGACACTAGATTCAAAAAAGAAAGCTAGCCAGCCATTCTCATTCCATAAACCTTCGATGAGCCTAAGGACTGATCCAGAGCCCACAGCTTCCTGTGTCAGTGTGACTGTCAACCCATCCTGGAAGCCATCTTCTGACCACTGAGGCTTTGGAGAGGGATCAGCAGTCCAGTGTGCATAGGGTTCTTGCAGAGGACTCAAGCTCGGTTCAGCAATCACACGGAGCAGCTTCAGGGGATCTGTTACCTCTGGCTTCTGCTGCCACCCACACATGTATGCACACATCTGCACATAGACAACAAGTGAGAGAAAACAAGTGTCATTGCTTCCCTCGTCCAAAAACAAGGAAGCCAAAGCACAGAGGGTAATCTTCCTACAAGAATGTTGCTGGCAGAGTCAGAGCTGGGCTCCACTGTGGAAACTGAGGCACGGTTGGTGCTGTTTCTGTCATCCCAGTGCTTTACTGCAGCTGTGTGTGGTTGTTAAAATGGACTTAGCTTTGCTCTTGAAATCTCTGACTTAAAGGAGAATAATAACAAAAAAGATTAATTTTTTTTCATTTTAAGCATAAATGCAAAGTTAAACTTCAAACAGGGAACTATTAAGAATAGTTTTTCTTTCCTGGGAGTATTAACATGTTTTTAGGTGTAAGAACATCTGTTTCAGTTTGAGGGCAAAAGCCCCAGACATAAAAAAGCATCATCATAGTGTATCCATTCAGATATTTGCAGAGACCTTTGCACGATGTCATCCAGGTAACTTGCCAAGTGCGATGTTACATGACCTATTAATTTTGCTAGAGGTTGATAAGTTAGCATCATTAATAAGTGTGAGATTCTGAGCTGCAGTTTAACTTAAATGCATCCTCAGTCTGCGTGATTCACTTGAGAGTGAGTGCATCTCAGATGTGTTCATGCATGACGGAGCATACTTTTCACAAAGGTTACGTGTTTAGCGTGTTAACAGCAATACAGTAGTGAGTACTACAGACATTAAAAAAAAAGGCTAGCCTGTTTTCAAAGTCTGAAGTCTTTTTTGTTGATTTACTTAGAGGAGAATAATTTTATTGCCTTACTACAGCTTAATTCCAAATGTAGCTTCTGAAGCTCTTTGGATGTTTCCTCAATGGGTCCATCTAACTCTTCTCTTTCTGGTCTGTGTTTTGTTGACATGGTTTAGATTCAGCAGTCAGCACACACACATCTGAATATCCCTCTCTTCCCACTTGGTTTAACGGATGAGCCAAGCCATGGAACACTTGCTCTGGAGGATGAGCCTGAGGGTCCTGGAGTCCACGTGTCCAACTCTCAGCTCCGGCAAAAAATATCAAATCTGGAGACTAAACTCAAAGCTTCAGAAGAAGAAAAGCAGAGAATTAAAAAGGTGTGTGTGTGCATTTGCCTGAGAATGTAAAATTGTATACGCTAGCAATTTGATAAAATCCAAAATGGGTGGAAAGTCCCCTGAGCATAGGTTCTGGTCAGTCACACCACATAGGCAGTGGAGGCATTTTGTTAGAAGCCTCCAGTTGTGGGCTAGAAAGATGGCTCAGAGGGTGGGAGCATGGGCTCTTCTTGCCAGTATACCTGTCTGGTTCCTAGCACCCACATGGCAGCTCACAACTGTCTATAGCTCTAGTTCCATGGCCCCTTCTGGCCTCTAAGTGTTGCTATTTGCATGTGGTGCAATACATACACTTAGGCTCACACACACACACACACATGCACACACACACACACAAATAAAGTAACTAAACCTCAGACAGAAGTCTGTAGTCAGTGGTTAGCACACCCACGCATTCAGCATCTAATTCAACCAACCGTACATCAGAGATACATGTTGAGTGTGCTATAGGTAAATGTTTACAGACCCCCCCATTTCCACAAGCAAAAACTTTAACTTATATTCCTGTTATACATATTTTAAATAGCTGGAGATAACTTAGTTATATATGGTAGGATGCGTAAGTTATATGAAAATACTATGCTGTATTTAGCCACCTAGGACTTTGGTGTTAGTAGGGACCCGTATGAACCAAAGTCTGAGTGTGCTGTTAAGGGAATCACAGGTTTTGATGGGGATTTGTATTGTTTCCTGATCCTCTATGGCTTTCATTTCTGTTTTTTCTTCATTTATTTTCAAAGCAAGCAGTACTGTGTGATTTCAGGTTTGGCATGTGGGAGGTTAGATGCCCGTGTGCGTGTTCCAACACACCTTTTTAGGGAAGGGACTGGCATGTGCTCTCAGCTCTCTTCTGTCCTTCTATCTGTCTGTCTGTCCATCCATCTACCTCTGTTCTATCATTTATCTATCATTTATCATTTGTCAGTTATCATCTATCTATATTCATCAGTGTTATCTTCTCTCTACATCCGTCAGTGTGTCTGCTGTCTGTCCATTTGTCCACCCATCTGTGTGTCTGTCTTTGCCAGTTCATGGAAAGGACTTACAGAGATTGAGTCTTATTCCTTACATTGGTTGAAATACTCTTGTTCTTTATTCATTGTTTTGTGTTTGTGGTGTATACCTTTATATGTGGTTGTGTGCATGTAGGAGGACATGCTCCTCTGTGTAGGAGGACATGCCCCTTGCATGTAGAAGGACATGCCCATGCTTGGAGGAGGATGTGCCCCTGCATGTAGGAGGGATGTGCCCATGTGTTCTCCTGTGGAGAGTGTTGGGACACTTTCATCTCTCTCTCTGCTTTCTGTCTACTCTGACTTGGGGCAGGTGGCCAGCCCTTGGGTGTCTCTGCTGGGGTTACACACGTGGCTTTTATGAGGGTATGTGGGGAGTCCACACTGAGGCCCTCATGCCTATACAGAAAGCACTTTACTCTCCAAGCCATCTCTCCAGCCTGCTCTTGTTCCCTTAAAATTTTAGTGTTCCGTCATTATTCGATATTGGCTTAGATATTAGTTAGCTTAGACATTAAGCCAATATTTTCTGTTTATTGAAAAAGTACTTTGTGCGGTAGAATATTGCAGAGCTTGTGTTTGGTTTCCTTGTAGGATGTGGAGTCGCTGATGGAGAAACACAGTGTCCTGGAGAAAGGCTTCCTGAAGGAAAAGGAGCAGGATGCTGTGTCCTTCCAAGCCAGATACCGTGAGCTTCAGGTGAGCAGCCCCAGAAATGCTCAATGATGTTCTGAGTGAGTGTGGCGGACGGTGAAGTGTGTTGTCCTTGCCTCTAGTCCGAGATGAACTGGAAAGTGGCACATTGAGTTGTCACGATGTTTTGTGACGCTGGCGTGAGACCACTGACTCCAGTGCTAACATGCACCAGCTTGTGGAAGGTTCTTGAAAAGGGCAGTTGGGGAAATGGAGTCTATTTTGGGGGGCAATACTCTACTCTTAGGAAGTGACTGTAGGAAGAGGGGTGTCAGGCTGGGCGTTGTCATCTCCGTATAATTCCTGAAGCCGTCCCAGGCGTTCTTGAACATCACACTCAACTTGTTCTGAGGAGTATGATGTGGCAGTCCCTGCCTTTTTACACTAATGTGTCTAACGTGCATTTCTGAATACGTCCAGGGCTAAGGACAGAGGAGCCAGTTTCTCCTTTTGTTAAAATGATGAGGGTTGGTGTTGTGGAGGCTGGATTTCTGCAGTGTCCGCAGCATGAAGCGAACTGCGTGAGCTGTTCCAGGATGTGCCAACGGCAGATGTGTGGATGGAATGAAAAATGCTTGTCCAAAGAAATTCCTTCAGTGTGTATAGTTCTAAAATAACATGCTAATTCTGGAAAACACAGACAATACACAGAAATCAAAATCTTACTGTTTATCACAAGGAAAATTAAAAATATTTTCATTTGATTTCAAGTTTGAAAGAAAACCTGCTGTCCTAGGTCAGGATGGATGCATGCTGCCACTGAAACCCCATGCCAGAACGAGAGAGAGATAGAGAGAGAGAGAGAGAGATAGAGCGAACCAAAATGGGGGGGGGGGGGGGGTT